AAAAGTAAATACAATAAGAATGTAGAGATTCAACACAGAAGACTTTGACGATTAAGCATTTACAATTCTTGATTTGTAATGCATCAAAGCATTAAGCTTTGGTTTAAAAGCTCTCCCTCTTGCAGATGGACATGTTTATGAATCAAAAATAAAAGTACAAAAATATCTGGCTTGAACTGAAGGATCAGTGGAAGTCGATTTCTGTTTTGAGCCTCAGAATGGAGACTTCTAAATGTGTTGATCTGCCCTTCCAGCAGATTAACTGATCAAGTGATTTAGTATTAGACTTTTAAAGCAGCATTTGACTGAATTATTCAGAATACTTATAGCCTAGCTTATTGAAATAAACTGAGAATATCTGGAAGACATATTTCCAGCCTCAGCACATTTCCCCTTATATCTTCTGAGTCACAGATTTAAATGTGACTATAGGTGAGTCTCAATCCGCTTCCTCAGTCTTATTCAGAACCAGTGACATTCAGTTCCATTAAAGGTTTTAGATTTAACAGAGCTGCAACACTGCTACTAAATCTACAGTGTGAGCAGACAGCAAGACCCGTAGTCTGATTACCAAACTAATGACTCTGTTACTGATCCACTAAAATGAACCAGCTTAAAAGTCATTCATTTGGAAAAATAAAAAAAATACTCTAAAGGTGGAGTCAGATTTTGTGTTGTTGAGTAAATATTCATGAGCGAAATCCATTAGTTTCAACAGGAATCCATTGGGAATTTTGTCAGTAAGTAACTTTCTTTATTTCTTTAGTTTTTTCAGTGAATCAAAATGATACAGTGCAGTGTAGTCTAAACTCACGAACAAATTAATCGTATGATCTGTTAGGGAAATAAAAACAGCGACCAGTGTAGTTCAAACATTGTGCTTAATAGTGCCGACATTTGTATTCACAATTTACTGATTCACATCATAGGGAACTAGGGAGTAGTAGAAAGATAGTGCACTCATATTACTATAAGTGGAAGAAAGTGCAACAGGCAATGTGGCGGAATAAGTCCCGCCTTCTAAATAAAAGAGTCAATCGCCTATTGGTAGTCATTCTCAAAACAGTCATGCTGCATCCGAAATCACATTCCTTTGCATCACGAAGTATGTCCAAAGTCACAGTACTCATAAAAGAGTAGACAAAAAGTACCCGGATGACCTACTTCTTCCAGCGAGAATCTGAAGTGTGCATTCGATGGAAACTTTACTATCCCATGAGGCCATAGGAGAAGATTTATGAATGGCAGTGAACCGACGTAACTGACGCTGGTAGGTCACATGATAACGACTACATGGTGAATGTAGTACGTCCAGATTCAGATTCAGATTCAACTTTATTGTCATTGTGCAGAGTACAAGTACAGAGCCAATGAAACACAGTTAGCATCTGACAAGTGCAAACAGTAAATATATATAAATGAATACATCTAAACATATATAAAATAACATAGAAGAGCAAAATATAGGATACAGGTGCAGAGGCCAGTTCAATGCAGTTGTCTAAAAACTATACCAAGTGCAATACAAAATGCAGTAGGTCCAAATGTAAAGTATAACGCAGAAAGTGCGTTATTGAGAATGAGCCAGGTATGTGTATATTACATTCGTACTACACATTTATACTATATAGAACGTACTTTTTTAGCTGTTGTGAAGTCATTCAAAATAAGTACCTACTCAAGAGAGTATATGCGATTTTGCACGCAGCCTCAGTGCGCGTTCTCTCCTGTTAGTCTTTGGCTGCTCCAGCCTGAAAAATAAGCTTTCTTTAATGCTATTTGAGCATAAGAAACCACATTTATGTTACAGTTGTTGTCAGATTCCATTGGTGATTTCAAATATGAAATTTAATCGTAAACTTGGTGAACAGCTTTGGAGAATTTTATGTTTCCCCAATCAAATATATAGGAGCTGCACTTGCCGGACTGAATTAGCTGCCCGAAAGGCGTTTCAAAGATTGCCGCCAAGTGAAATGACTGAAATGTACTTTGGTAGAATGAGACTAGCATATGTTTGATGCTCTTTGCAAAATGGAAGCATTTTTTGTCTAAATATTTTTGAGGACCTGTTGTACCATAAAATTATAGTAGGTGTACAATTTGAGGCTAGCTTTCAACAGACTGTCCTTACATATTATAGCAGGCATTAATCAAATGGCTGAATTATCATCGTAATCAAACACCTTGGAGTCAAAGCAGAAATATGCTTTGATACAAAGTGACAGCCTATCAGGGAGTCTCACCGCTAGAGCCCCCTGTTCGTACCTCCCCTGCTGTTAGCTGGCTGCTGATGTGTTTATTTGTGTGCGATGGTGCTTAGAGATGTTTCCCTACCCAGCTGCAATGCCCCCATGGCATCATCCCATTCCCTCTGCATGTGAATCAGTGTATTCACCCATCACAATGAGCTCTGGAACAACAGCAGCCCTGCACAGACTACATACTGTTCTCAACCTGAACAGCACTGGGGAGAAGCCAGTGACATGCTTGATATCACATTACCAACACCATGTTGCTTTAATCCAACGTAAAGCACAAAGCAGCTTTTCTAGTCCAAAATAATTCAGATGAGAGAAATTGTTTGCCCATACATTGTTTTGAAATGAGTTTATATAAGTTGTTCTGAACTGGTTTTGCTTTTGGACAAAGATTTTACTTTGGAATTTAAGTAGACACGACACCCAGTATCAAAATTTGTTAAACAACATAACATTAATAACATAGGTTGAATAGGAAAACTGACTTAATAATTTTACATTGACTTGTTTGAGTGTTTGATTTCTAAATAATATCTTTTGAATTTTGATGATTTCACGTTCTCAATAGCCATATTGTGGTCATCAAAATTAATGTTTATCTATGAGACAATTTTTATTATCTCCTGTGTAGTTTTTTACCTTATATACTGTATAGTATAGTATAGTATAGTATAGTATAGTATAGTATAGTATAGTATAGTATAGTATAGTATAGTATAGTATAGTTTTGTCAATTGTTTTCGAGGATGTCAACCTTTCTGTGTTCAGCATCTACCTAATTTGGCCAGTTTCTACCAAGTGACGAAAACTAAATTTTGTATTGGACTCCTTTGACATCAACAACAAAAGATATGGAAAGTGATATCCCAATAGAGGATTACATGGATTATATAAGATTATATTATATATTATTATTTGCATTAAGCTGTGTTTTTCCAGAATCATAGATTTGTGACCTATTTTATGGACACAACCCCTTATTTGAGACCCACTACATACAGTATAATACATGTAAGGGACCATGATCAATGTTAATCAGTGCAGAAACTATAACTACTAAAAAAAAACTAAGTACAAAAACAGTTATTAATTTTTTTAATTTGCAACACACCAAATCATCGCAGATGGTCTGCAATGGCTTGGCAGTCTCACATTGCATGCGATTTCCCCCACAGATGCACCCTCTTGAGCCTTTCCCTATTTTCCATATGAATGCTCAGGTCAGGGCAAGAGCCGTGACTGTTCAGCCCCGTCTGATGATAGCAATCATCAGCGTGGAGAGGCACATTCAATACTACCCAGCTACTCTTCAGAGTCAAATCAGCTGTTAATACAATTCCCCTCACTGGTTCAACACGGATAAAGCAGAACCAACAGAAAACAAAAGCAATGAATTCATAATTTTCTTTTTCACTGGAAATGCTCTATAGTTCTCTTCCTTTTTCACCCACTGGGTGTTTCAGTTGTTGAGCTAAAGCGCAAGAGAATAAGATAATGAGTTTTGCTTCAGGACCTGGATGATGAAATTAAATTGGTTTGCTTTCATGTTTGTTTATAGTGCATGATCTTAATGTCCACAATCAGCACGTTTCCAACCTCCCAGTATAATACAGAGTTATATTCTATTTAAGGGAACATAATCAGGTAAATTCACATTGGATGCAGTCCCCTATTTTAGCATCCCAAACAGTGGAGAAAGCTAGTATTTATGGATTTGGATTTAGTTTTCGCCATTGCAATGTCTAAAACATCAGGTTTTATTGACCTGTGAGTTCATCTTGAAATGTTATACAATCACAAATATCTAGGCCTGGTTTCAGATAGAGCTTAGATTAAGCGAGGATTAGGTATAAATTCAATTAGGACATTTAAGTAGCTTTAATAAACGTGCCCTAGAAAAAGAAAAAAAACATCACTGGTGCATCTTGAGACAAAACAATGGCAGTGACATGTTTTAAGATAGGTCACTTCAAGTTGCTTTCAGTTAAAACAGCTCAAACATGCATTTTAGTCTGGGACTAGGCATATAAGTGTTCTGTGAAACCGGGGGATAGAGGTATTTGTAGGTCACTTGAAAAAAACATCTGCTAAATGTTTTTTTTTGTTTTTTTTTAAATGTAGGCTATATGTGTAAATGTATGTGTAGGCCTATGTGTATTTATGTGTGTAATGTTGTTTGATAGTAGCCTGACTTCGTCATACTCATATAGTTTGATAGGCTACTTAACACAAAAATGAACATTTATTAACTCAAGTCACTTAACATAAATCAATAATAATTCATTCGAATTTTTTAATGCCTGCTTTTGGGCAGCAGTTATTGGTGGAGACAGACTAACTTCAATGTGTAGCCTACATGATGTATAGACCGTAACGGAGTTGAACAGGAATGTCTACTGTTTTGCTAGTAGGCTAAATAATTAAATCATGTCATCTGATATGGCAACTGGAGGTTTAACAGGGCTGTTGATGATGAAAAACAGCAGTGTGAATAAGAAAAACACAGCAATTAAAAGCTTTTCAGAATTTAGAAATAATTTGAAATGACTCACGAAGTATAACTGCTGCAATAATCTGTGAGTAATATAGGTAGGCTGAAATACTTGGAAACTGAGTGGTGTGGTCGCTAATAGTGCCAGTTCATGAATAATTCAATAAAAGGTGAGCAGATGGGAGTTGGTTGGGCTGGCAAACGGCGCGTGCTCGTTTCGTTTTGTGTTGTGTTGTGTCATCATTCAGCAGCTGAGGCTGCGTTTTAAGTTTGTCTCGCGATTTTAATAATATGGCATCTGTGCACCCGACTTTAGGCGAACTTGTGTTTGTTTAAACTGCGTAATACGTTTATCTAAAAACTTTGTCTGACGTCTTTATGTTTTCCACAGCCTGACATGTAAGAGACATGCGTTCGAACTTGCGGCTCAGGAGGCGCTCTTATCAGTCGACACCAAACATTCTTGAGGTAAGAGACTTTAGCAGCAAATGACAGTGTGGACAATTTACATTATGGTGTCGGACACTTTAGAGCTTTTTTGAGTATTTTTGTAAATGAAACCTAATTTTAAGTGGCTGTACATTACATCATAAGGGTCATGGTTAGTTTCCAAAAGTCATACAGGTCAAACTTAAATTGACTTTTGAACATTGAGTGATCTATGTGGCTGACACAAAATGTCCATCATTTTTTGGGCAATTCATAGTTCCCTAATATACCATAAACTTATATATATATATATATATATATATATATATATATATATACGTATATATATATATATATATATATATATATATATATATATATATATATACACACACACATTCAACTCATCTATACTAATTAATTGACAACAAACATATCTGTACCTGTTAGACCTGCGTTTACTGTAAGCTGCAAATAAAAAATAACATTTTCATCTGTTTCTAGTTCAAGTCCCATCCTTTTTGCATTACCGGTATATTCAAGTTACATGCATTAATTATATTCAGACTTCAAATCCAGATGACTGTGTTGAATCTAAGATTATGATATCAAAATAATTTAACTGTGTTAAGCAGTGTGCAAAACAATAAAATAGTCTTTATTATTTTAAAGCAGCCTGTTTAAATTTAAAAAGTTCTTTATTAAATAAAAGTTTGTGCAATGTCATGTCACTTTGTCCTTCATAGTGCATGTATAAATTACAGTTTTTTAGCATATATTTTTGTAATGTTGACAATGTTCACTCTATTGTTGATAATTCCTCATTATTTCAATCTGGAGTTCAAAATTCACGATCAGTGGTAAACAACAGTGATTTGTGCTCAGTTTTTGTAGTAACTTTGCATGGTACTGTAAATGAAAACAACCGTTTAATTAATCAAATAGCAATCCATCCGAAATAAAAATTAATAATAATGTCTTAGCTGCTGTCTTCACCAGATTTCACCTTTATTTTCTGGCAGAAAAAAAAAACTTTTCCTCCTTTATCTGTAATTTTTTAACAAACAATTTTTAATTATCATTATAATGTGTTTATTAATTGTTGTAAATATAAAGAATTGTGTGCAATATAGTTGCCTCTGATATTTTTATTTAATGATTTCATCATAAAACAGCATGGATATATAACTTGTGTCCATCTTTTAGCCTCTGGGTGAAATTTACATTTATAGAGGGGATAATAAAAAAACTAGAAATATCACGATGCATTCGTAGCACATTTAGAGGTGGATTGTAGCCCGAGGACACTTTGTACATTGCATGTGAGGATGTTACTGCTTTGATTTAAAGAAATATTCCAGGTTAAATACAAGTCAAACTCCATTGACCACATCTCTGACATGCTTTTGATCAATATAAATATATCCACTTTATACCATATTTGTACAGTGATTTGATTATCTCATAGGCTTCCATTGTAACTGTAAGTACATTTTCTATGCTAAATATACTTTTTCAACCTGTTAAATATCTCATCTGATAGATATTGGTCATGTTTAAAAATTGCTTTCAAATGCAAACCAATATATGAGCAAATTCTTTTATTGAATAATTTCTTGGCAACAAACCTGTTCATCCATCTAAAATTCAAGATCCAGTATGTTCTTGTATGTTCATGATCTTCATCCAGTATGTTCACAGAAAAGTAATGGAAATCAACCGTGGATAGATCTAATATGTATTTAACCCAGAATATTCCTTTAATGTTTTGTAAAAGGTACTAAAGGTCTTATACTCCACAGACAGTGGATAATGAGTATTCCTGGCACCTTCACCAAAATGCCATGACACCATGGAGAAGTCTGAGGAGTAGATGGGAGGACCCAGTGAGGGGAAGACAAACACCCCCATTTTTACCTGGTTTCACATCATTTGATGAATCACGGAGAACAGAATACACACCTAGTCCTTTTTTATTCCTGGGCCGGACACGCAGTGTCCCTGAAGGTCTCCATTGCTTCAGTAGACCCAATTTACGATCAAGCTTTTCCTCCATCACCATCACCACCCGGAGTTTGTCTCCAAAAAGGGATTGTATGCCTTATTCAAGCTCAGCATTTAGCCCTCTAAACAATCCTGACACAGTGCCCTCTTCCATGGCCCGAAGTGAAAATAAAATCCTAAAAGCCATTGCTGGCATTCCGAGGCCTCCTAGACATAAAGCAGTTGTGGTGACGGTGGATGAGTGCAGAGAACATAATTGCGATAACGAGACCCCCAGCAGCCCCCAAGCTCCACCTGTCCACAGGCACAGCTACACCATGGAATATGAGCAAACAGACTCTTCACCCCGTTTAAAACGCCACATCTTCCGCTCCTGCGTCCATCTGGAGCTCCTACAATTCAAGCTGTCCAGATCTACTCTGTACTTGGACAAATCCCTCTCAATCCCTCTTAGACAGACTTTGTATAGATCCACTCTGTCTCTTTCCCTTGGAAAACCATCTTTTACTCAGACCCCTGAGAAACCCTGGACGATGATTCAACCTAAAATGCCCTTCAGTGACTGGGACATGGCGAACGTTGGCGTTGATGGAAAAGAAAGGCATTCCCAGCACCTGAAGGATGGTTCAACCATCAATGGCAGTGCCTTTAAGAATAATGCTGGCTCCGGCTCCGACACACTGTGTTCCACTTTAACATCATTGCCATTCAGAACAAGGTGCCACTCATCTTCTGCTGCCTTCAGACTGAATGGAAAGGCTAATGATGTCTTAGGGCCTCCGCAGTGCAATCTAAGAGCCAGACAGGCATTCAGCAAGCCATCAGGTACCTATATCACCTCCCTGCTCCACAGAAGCCATGCAAATGTATCCATCCTCTCCCCCTTTCTCTCTTTTTGTTGCTCTCATTTATTCTACCATTGCTGCAACATATTTTTCGGATGATCCATGAGATATCTTTGCCAGTGTGTTTCAATTTCAACATCTCCTACTCGAGTTGCACACCTTCTGATTGGTGGCTCATGCATTGTTAATGAGACGGCCTTCCCAAAAGCTCCTTGGGAATGGGAATGCATTGTCAGAAATATTATAAATGGATTTATGAAAATAAAAGAATGCACCTGGAACATTTCAATCCAGATGAACATTGCATTGACGCGCCAGCTCAAGTGGGTCACTCAGATGTCAGATAAAATGCCCACTGGCACAAACTGGCAGAATAGGTTTAATCTGGCATTGTTTGATATAGTGTACATGGCTGGATGTCCAAAGATGGAAGGAAATCTCTTAGTAGGAAGTTCGCTGTGAGGCAGGATTTTTAACCGAGAGAGTCTTGATCTTGGAGATTATTATAAGCATTTGATACTGGTATTTTGCAGCTTTTTACCTTGCAGGATAACTAGTAGATGCATAGTCAGGACACAGATTTTTTACAAAGTAATAGAAAGCGTGTGAGTGGGAGCTATTGAAAAGAAAATAGGGTGAGTTTCAATCTTCTTATGTGAGATGATGCATCATTGACTCCACATTACCTTGCATCTAAAGTCTATTGGTTTTTCTGGCCTCTATTCTGGCTCTGTACGGCTAAACACATTTCCCTGTGCTGAGTCAAAGGATAACATCCTCTCTGCAGCACACTGATTTTTTTGCCTGTGGTCTGTGAGGCATGTGACGGCAAGACTTCATGACTGGGCTCTGATGAACTAACACCAGGTACCAAAGTAGGGAGGGCTCAAAAGGGCACTTATCCACAAGTCTTAGTTTATTTATGTGCCAATCCTTCAATGTCCTTTTGCAACCCTCTGCATCTGTCATTTATATCAGCCTGTCTCTCTCTTACTGAGCTTGACATGCTTTAGTGAATAGAATTTTAACCTTTATTTCAGAGCCAATTTTGAATAAAATGGTGGACTCCCCTGTGATATTCAAGAGCTTGAATGTGCTTAGTGTGAAACGCCTTGAAAATGCAACATCTTACTCTGAATTAGAGGAAACTGGTATGATATTTATACAACCCAATTTTTTTGTGAATATTACTGGAATTTTTGAGACGAGAGTTATCAGTAAATTGTTGAATTATTATTATTTTTTTTATAATAATCTTTCATGAAAATAGTATGCTGTAAATACAGCCCAAAACAAGTTTTCTGGTTATATTACCAAGACCACACGAGTGGTCAAAATAATAATAACCTGATTTTTACATTGTTTGTTTGTGAATTTGTTTTCTTAAGGTGCAGTCACATTAGTAATTTCAGCAAAATTTAGCAGGAAATGAGGTCCATTGTCAACAGCGTAGTGATATATGAAGCACAGCTCTTACAAAAATCACTTAAAGCAAAGTCAGCAATGCGACGAATCTGCGTGTACAGCTTGGGGAAATTTTTCGCCCTCATACGAAATTCCAGATTGTGTGGATTCCAAATTAAATTACTGGATTTCACCTGTGAAAATTTGCCGAACAACAACAAATGTGACCACACCTTTACTATACACCATTTTTCACTTTACTGCCACACCACACTGGCATTGCTGTGGTGTTATGAGTGGTGTTATGAGTGTTATGAGCATGCTTAGATGTTATGAGTGGTTTTAGCACACTGCTAGGTGGTTGCTTGGAGGTTCTGGGTCATTTCTTGGGTGTTGACCTCCTCCAATATGCAGTTCTAAATTCATGCAGGAAACTGTATGATATGGCTTTGGTTCTTCCTTTACTGTGAGTCTTTGAAAAAGAAATGGCACACCTGTCCTTATTAAACCTGCATGAATTGAGGTAACATCCATAGCATAAACTTGTTATGCATATGAATAAACCCTGAAACTTAAGTCTGAGCAATAGTAATGGTAATTCTTGCGTGTACAACTATTAAAATCTCGATCCCGATGGACAAAATCATGTCCCGCCATATTACTTCCCACTTAATATTCACTTTCTCTTGTAAATTTGTCATATTACAGAAGTTGATAGGGCAATGCTTTTTCACATTTGTTTTTAAATACTAAAAAGTATGCAAACCCTATTGTGGGCTTTTGCATGTCTTGCACTACTTCTATGTAGGCCTACCAGTACTGTATTACATGTATTACAATGCATAAGTGCTTCTTATCCAGGTAAAAGTGTTATAGCGAGTGTTTGTAAGGCTGTGTGCTAAGGCACTAAGCTAACATCATTATTTATCTGTCCAGGAGTCCCTCAGGTGTATGAAAGAGCCCCTCATGAGGTCAGAACAGTTTTCCACACTGCTGAGAAAGTCAGGAGACTTATTGAGTGCCCGGTCTCTCCTCATCGGACTAATTGCACCTGTGGGTCCAGGACTGACCAGCAGGCCACTAAACCGCAGTTGCTTAGTTTGAGGGTATGGTTTTACTGAGGGAATCTGGCTTCCGTAGGGTTTGTTCAGACAGGCAGTGTTATTAACAGTGTTTTTAAATGTATTAGTGTTTTATAGATTAACTTGTGTTGTGAGTGTCAGATTACATCAAAGGGTAATCTAAATATAAAAATAGGAAACATGATCATGTACACTTAAATATCCAATATCAACCAAAATACATCCGATATTGAAAAAAAGAAACAGTCTAGCTAGATTGTACTTGCCTTTTAAAAAAAAAATTGATTTGTGTGTGAACAAAGCCTCAAGTTTACTTCCTTTCTGAACAACAATTGTGGCAAATCATGTATATACACTTCAGCTTTGCACTGTGGCATAAACTTTTGTGTTCATTTCCAAATGTTTGTAGGAGGCTCTTGAGCTGTTTCGGCCAGATTTCATCTCTCGCTCTCAGAATCGGGTGCGGCGATTAGAACTGAGGGCCAGGGAGAGGCGGAGCTTACAAACAGCAGAATTTATCATGGGCGTGGAGACGGCTAACCGTAGGCGGAACTGCACCAAACCACACCCACTTAGTGGTAAGATACTCTGTTTTCATTAGCATCCTATGCACAGATGAAGGAGCTGTAGTGCAGATCTGGTGCTGCAGCAATGCAGTCTCAGAATCTCTTCTATAACCATTCAATCGGGTGTCCACAGAAGCAATGAACTATTACTTACTAACAGTGCATCAGTGTGGTAAATGGCTGCAAAATGTGCCAACAGTGGGTATAAGGGTCATCGTCTTATTTTTAGGGCATGCACACTGCGGCAAGGCACATTATTGATGCCGTCACAGGAAGACATGCTTCAGTGCTGCACTTAAACTTTTGGTGCATTAAAAATTCAGTAATATCAGAACAAACTTGGGACGGACAGACTTATATAAAGCAAACCGATACAATTGAGATCTCAAAGGTCTCTGCATGTATCTCTGTTGAGAATGAACAATGAATCTTAAAAAGTATATGAAATATCCTGCAGCTTCCTGATGCCCCCTATTGGCTTCAATATGATTCTACAAGTTACTGTAAACATTTTCTTATTCAATAGCTACTGTATGTGTAACTGCACTATTTGTTCAGTTAGCTCATAAATTTATCCATTAGAAAATGTTCTTCGAAGCTACATAGGTCAGAAAAGTCACAGACTGACTATGGCGGTCTTTAGAAAACTGCAACTGAAGAATAAATTGTAACAATTAAATATTAAGCTTTGTAACAAACTTTTCATTTCACTTTTATCCTTTATAATCCTGCTGAATGTGTTTTGTAGATAACCTTTTCAAACCCAGGGACAGAGCCATCTCAGGCAAAGAGATGCAATGGAGATCCAGACGGTGAGATTTCGCATACACTCTCTCACAATATCACAGCACCAGTGCTTATCAGTGCAACAACACAATATGACCCCTTTCTGATAAGGATAATGTTCGCTTATCTCTCTGCTGGAGTAAAAGCCACCAGATCAGATGAAATATAGTGGATTAAAGCATATATTGACATACGTACATCAAGGTTTTTCTTTGTGTGTTCCTGTTTGTGTTTAGGTGAAGATGGATCAATTCCTTCTTTCAAACAAGTCACTGTTTTCATGTCATTATATGTCCATCATCCTCAGTCTGTGCTTGCAGGATTTACAACAAACTCCCTGAGGTGGCCAAAAAGAAGGACGAGGAGAGGAAGAGACTGGTGTCTGAAACCAACAGACTGAGGGCAGAGGTCTTCAAAAAGGTTAAGCTTTATCTCACACAAAAACTGCTCTGTATTTTAAGGCTTGTAGATTTTATGAGATAAAACCTTAATCATTAAAAAAAAATATTCGCAGCTTGTACTTTTATTTGCATGTATCCGTTTAGCAGTCGCTTCTGTTAATCTAAGAGCCAACAATATACAATGCTAAGTGTAATATAAATGCTAGATTAGTACACAAGCTAAGATAAATGCAGAAAATAAGATTATTTGTTATACTGAAACGGCTATTTAGTTTTACTACAAAAAATCTACCACCATTTTAGTCCCAAAGCACATCATATTTTGCTTTTTTTTTCATAAAAGTGAAATACATGTATCCTGATGTTTACAGATAACATGCTGGGTCACATATTGTGAATTTCATCAAATAACTGACATTTATATAGCAAAATTAAACCTTATACAGAGCTGAATAGAGAGCAAAATAGTAAAATATGATAGGGCCTTTTTTCAGCACCCAGATATGTAGTTACCTTAGAAGAATATAATTAAAATAAGAATTCAATTAAAGCGTGCATGGTTTAATAGCCAAAATTAAATTAGACTCGTTTTAACTGTAACTGTATAGCGCTGTTCAGTTTGTAGTCCTAAAACCTTGTAGATAATTAGCTTTTTCCAGCAATGGTTTCCCTGTGGAATGTCTGATTTTTTAAAATAAACTTCTGAATAAATTAAGAATTTTTTTTTCCCTGAAACCTTTGCATGCTTCAGATTTCTCTCCAGGACAGTTCTCAGCCTCAGCTAACGGTATTATGTGCCATAATTAAAGAAACAAATCCAGCATTTTGCAAACAAACTCGATCTACTTTGCAAAGGAAAACTCGACAGAAAGCAATGTGCAAATACAAAGGTCAATTTGAGCGAAAACGCAGTGGAGTAACCAATATGTATTGTGTTTTAAAAATATAAATAAATGAGCCTAGATAATATTTCACAAATAAATACAAACCATTCTACAAATTGCATGTAACCTTTGAACAAATACCAAATCGAGTGCATACAAATGCAAGTTTACAAGCTGTGTGCTTCTCCTTGCCCGCGTTATTTAACGAGTGGGGATACACACAAGCTTTGTGTGATTTGTTTGGGAGTGGAGCATGCGGTTTCAGCCTTCGAGGGGGCTGAATGCCAACATTGCGAAATGCTTCCGGTTCGCATGCTCCGCCCCCGCCTGTCACTTTTTGAGGAAAGTGGCCAGGCTCGCAATCCTCAGGGTGCAGGACCCGCTGTTGCCGAGGCAACACGAAGAATGCATTCCTGGGGATAGCAAAAGGATCTTTCGGAGGGGTTGGAGACGGGTCCGAGGGCCTTTTCTCCTTCCTTACCCGGAAGATCCAGTGCTCTCCCCCCGGTGTCGGAAGCCCGCTCTGCGGCTTCTTCCGTCCGGGGAGAGAGCCCACTAATGCTTCAGTCCTCTTCCTCCGAGGAGGTTGATGTACTAAGCATTGGAAGTGAAAGCACACACATGGGAGAAGGAGATTCGCCACCTCCTTCTCCCGCATATGAGGAGCTGGTGGAGGTGATCACTCGTGCTGTAGAAAAATTACATATTGAATGGCCAGCCGAGAAAAGGGACGCTCGTCCCAAAAGCAAATTAGACGAGCGCTTCCTAACATCCAGTATTTCACCTCCACCACGAGGCCTTCCCTTTATCCCCGATCTTCACTGTGAGCTGTCTAGATCGTGGAATAAGCCATACTCTTCACGACTTTTCAGCCCTCAAGTTCATTTATATTCAGGAATTAGAGGGTTGAAAGAGTATGGATATGAGTCGATGCCCCGGGCTGAACAGACGCTCGCGAGTTATCTGTCGCCCGGTCCAGCATCGTCTCTGAAGGCCTCGGCTTTGCCCACCAAACCATTAAAAACAACATCTAATTTGGTGGGCAAAGCATATACGGCAGCAGGTCAAGCTGGAGCCTGCCTTCACACGATGGCAGTGCTTTAGGCTTATCAGGCTGAACTGCTGGGGGATATTGATAAGAGCGAGGGAGTTGGGCCCGATGAGGTTCGCGAACTTCATCGGGCCACAGATCTGTCTCTCAGGGCAACTAAGGAGACCGCCAGAGCAATTGGGCGGTCTATGGCAGCCCTTGTAGCTACTGAGAGACACCTCTGGCTGAATCTCGTGGAGATCAAGGAGAAGGACAGAGCTTTCCTCCTTGATGCTCCGGTTGAGCCTTCTAGTCTCTTCGGCGACGCAGTGAATTCTGTCGTCGATAGATTCCAGGAGGCCAAAGGCTTTTAAAAAGTTTTTCCCTCGCCGTATCGTTCCCCCTGGGGCTGCTGGGCGTGAGCAGCCTCAGCCGTCGAGCTCCTCATCGTGCGCAACAAAAAGAGAGTGTTTCGTCTCGTGCACCTCCACACAAACAGTGGAAGCAGACGCAACACTCTCAGCCGAAGTCTTCTAAGTCGAAGCCTGATCTGAGGACCGTTCTTCAGGCTAAGAAGACTTCAGCTCAAAAAAAGTGGTCCTGACGCCAGTGCCGTCAGACCTGTGAGGGCAGCCCCAACCGAAGTGGAGCGTGTACACCTCAGAATACGGTGCCCGTTCCATCTCGGTGTCCTCACGGGACCGTTCTGCCAACCCCGCCACCCTTGGTGCTTCGGGGCGCAGCGGTCTCCAGCGAGTCTCTGGCGCAGTGTCCAACTTGACATTGCGTCAAACTCGCGCCCTCTGAGGGGGGTTCAAAAACAGTCAGTTCAGGTAATTCCTGCCAGTATGTTTCAGGCTCCCGATCTGGCTGTCTCTTTAACACCAGAGACCAGCCTCGAGAGGCTGGTTCCCTTAGTAGATTTTCTGGCAGCCTGGAAGCTACTGCCAAATATATCTCGTTGGGTCCTGCAGATAGTAGAGGAAGGATACAGAATCCAGTTTGGTTCTCGTCCTCCACACTACAACGGGGTGTTGCTCACGGTAGTACATCCCGAGCAGGCTCTGGTAATGGAGCAAGAGGTAAAGGCCCGGTTAGCGAAGGAAGCTATAGAACAGGTGTACTCACCCGACAGAGAGTCGGGTTTTTACAGCCGTTATTTCATTGTTCCAAAAAAGGATGGAGGGTTGCGTCCCATTTTAGATATTCATCTGTTGAATCGTGCAGTACAGAAACTCAAGTTCAAGATGCTAACACTCAAACAGATCGTGACCCAAATCAGATCCGAAGACTGGTTTGTCACGATAGATCTGAAAGACGCTTGCTTTCATGTCTCCATCCTCCCTCAGCACAGGAGGTTCCTGAGGTTTTCTTTCGGGGGCAAAGAATACCAGTATCAGGTACCATTCGGTCTAGCTTTATCACCCCGCACATTCACGAAGTAGATGCAGCTCTGGCCCCGCTCAGGCTGCAGGGCATACGAATTCTGAATTACATAGACGACTGGCTGATTCTAGCGGAATCAGAGCAGTTAGCGGTTCGGCACCGAGGTGTCGTTCTCGCTCATATGCAAATGTTGGGGTTGAGGCTCAATGCCAAGAAGAGTGTGCTTTCTCCATTACAGAGGACCACTTTCCTTGGTGTGGTCTGGGATTCAGTCACGATGCGAGCCGTTCTATCGCCCGCTCGTGTAGCTGTTATCCTCACAGCCACAAAGGAGCTAAAGCTAGGCCAGTCACGCACTGTAAAATAGTTCGAGAGACTGTTTGGCCTCATGGCAGCATCGTCCAGTGTGATACCCTTTGGCCTGCTGTACATGAGACCTTTGCAGTGGTGGCTCAGGACCAGAGGGTTCTCCCCGAGGGGAAACCCACTTCGTATGATCAAGATCACGCGGCGGTGCCTCCGCGCCTTGGTTATATGGAGGAAACACTAGTTCTTAACCCAAGGTCCGGTGTTGGGAGCTCTTTGCCATCGAGTTGCTATCTCGACAGATGCTTCCCTCACCGACTGAGGTGCGGTAATGGAAGGCCGCTCGGCTCAGGGTCTGTGGAGGAGTCATCATTTCTCTTGGCGCATAAATTGCCTGGAGATGATGCTGTCTTCAATGCGTTGAGACATTTCCTCCCAGATCTAAGGGGCCATCATGTGCTCGTCCGGACAGACAACACATCGGTGGTCTCTTATCTGAACCGTCAGGGGGGTCTGCGTTCGCGTCCAGTATGCAAGTTGGCACACCAGATCCTCCTATGGTCCCTGGGGAAGGTACTCTCCCTGAGGGCAGTGTATATTCCGGGGGACCCGAATATTGGGGCAGACGTCCTGTCGAGGCAGGAGCTGAGGCTAGGGGACTGGAGACTCCACCCCGAGGCGGTGGAGAAAAGTTTTACGGCCAAGCAGAGGTGGATCTGTTTGCGTCTCAGTACACGACGCGCTGTCCACTTTGGTTCTCCCTTACTCACCCAGCCCCCCTGGGGCTGGATGCTATGGTGCAGACGTGGCTGAGGCTACGTCTGTACGCATTTCCCCCTGTTGCTCTGCTCCCAGGAGTTCTGGAGCGAATCCGCCAGTACGGAATAAGCCTACTGCTAGTAGCACCACGCTGTCCGAGTCGAATCTGGTTTGTGGACCTGATTCATCTTCTAGACAGTCCTCCCTTGGAGATCCCGATCAGGAGAGACCTTCTGTCTCAGGCCGGGGGCACAATATTTCACACCCGGCCAGAGATTTGGAATCTGTGGGTTTGGCCTCTGAGGGGGACCAACTCATAGAGAGTGGTCTCTCAACTGAGGTTGTTGAGACTATTCTAAGCTCCAGAGCTCCTGCTACAAGGAAACTTTATGCACTTAAATAGAGAGTTTTTTCTTTATGGTGTCACCAGCATCAGTGGGATCCAGTTAACTGTTCAGTAAACACAATACTCAAGTTCCTGCAAGAGCGCTTTACGTCAGGTCTATGTCCTTCCACGCTCAAGGTCTACATGGCGGCTATTGCGGCTTTCCACGCCCTAGTGGGTGGTACATCGTTGGGTCGAGACCCCCTGATTACACGTTTCCTTCGTGGCACATTGAGGCTGAGGCCTGCAACTCGCACTAGGGTGCCAGCTTGGGACCTTGCAATAGTTTTAGAAGGCCTTTCTAGGGCTCCATTCGAGCCCTTAGAGTCAGTTTCAGATAAATTTCTTACTCTTAAGACCATTTTTCTGCTAGCTATTTCGTCCCTCAAAAGAGTTGGAGACCTTCAGGCCCTTTCGGTTTCCCCCACCTGCCTTGAATTTGCACCGGGGATGGTCAAGGCATTCTAATACCCAAAACAGGGATACGTCCCCAAGGTGCCGACCATGATTCCGAGACCTATTGTGCTGCAGGCTTTCTGTCCTCCTCCTTTTACCTCTTAGGACCAGGAAAAGCTGAACCTCTTGTGTCCAGTGCGAGCACTAGACACTTATGTTCATCGGACCTCTTCGTGGAGAAAATCCGACCAGCTATTTGTTTGCTTTGGATCACCCAAGAAAGGTCTTCCTGCTTCTAAGCAGACGGTCAGTAAGTGGATAGTCGAGGCTATTCGTCCTCACCGCTCACGTTCGTGAGGTTTTACAGCTTGGACCTGGATGCTGCCCCAGGGTCCCAGGTGCTTAGTGTTTAGTGACAACAGGCTGACACTCAGGTACTTGAAAGTTTGGCGTTTTGGGTATTCTCGTTCCCAAAGCGTCGTTGACGCATCGCGAGTTCCCTCGAAAGGGAACGTCTCAGGTTACAACTGTAACCATAGTTCCCTGAGAAAGGGAACGAGACGATGCCTCACCCTGCCATACTTCCTTCATCCCTGTGATCGGCTTGCTTCGGCAATTTTCGAAGCTAATGCCGGTTTGCTCCGGATGTGCTTTTATCTCTTCCTGGTCATGACGTCACCTGCCTGTGACGCTCATTCTTTCCATTGGACTAGTTGACATAGATGCTTCAGACGCATTCACGCTGGAGGCGTTCCCAAAGCGTCGTTGACGCATCGTCTCGTTCCCTATCTCAGGGAACTATGGTTACAGTCGTAACCTGAGACGATTTTCTCACAAATGCATTTGAACAACTTCCTCTTCTGAAACAGTAGATGGCGCTAAGATAGGGGATTAATTTAGCGCTAGTCTCCCGGGAGAAGCACTGATTTGAAACGCGCTTGCCTCTGCCTAGAGCTGAGGAAAATGAGCAGTGAACAGGCGAGTTTCTGTCTTACTGTATCTATAATAAACACTTTGAGGTTTTCTTTTGCAATTTATGTTGTAGAACAAAATGTGAAAGTGTCTTCAAATAGTGTTAACCATGAAAACCACTATTCTAAAGGCCTCTTGCTCTTGGAAATTCTAGAGGGCACACAAAGTGAATTAGCCGTCCGGACTGGCCTACAAATTGAAGTCATGACAGAATAGCTCTGTTGCTTTGTGCTGATGCTGTAACAGTGAACACTCTAAAGTGATCCTCCAGACTGACCTTTAATGGCCCCCACAAGGACAAACACACCTGAGGCTTTTGTCTCTTAATGCGTTCTGTCACAACTGTCAGCCCAAGTGTACCAGCGGAGATGAAACTTGTGTTACTCTGAAAACCTTCCCTCCGGTTAGAAACAGCTGGTACTGTGGGGTACCAGACCGTCTGATCTCACCTTGCTAAACTTTTACCTACGCTCTGAGGTGTCAAGTGATATATAGAGAATCATGAGATGAATTCATGCTGAGTCTCAACAGTGCTTCGCAGCAGCTTGGAAATGATCATATGTGACATAACTGTTTCATTAATCTTGTCAGGCCATTGTGAAAACTTAAAGGGATAGTTTACCCAAAAAATGAAAACTGTTTTACAATTTTTTCCCGATTTAGTTCCATATTGACTTTCTTCAGTGCAACACAAAAGGAGGTATTTTGAAAACGATGCTGATTGCTTTTTTCCCCATGTAATTACAATTTATTGTGACTAAAGCTCTTTCATAAAAAAAAAAAAGGAAAAGCACTATCAAGTCTTCTGAAGTGACACAATAAATTTAAACTGTTATTCACTGATAATCCTGACATCTGTCCTAGTTCGCCTTGATAGAAGAAACAATGTTTTGTTTTGTGAATTAAAAGTTCTTTTGAGTCAGATCTTTTCAATGAATCTATTGATCTGTTTCACAAAACTAGTATTAATGATTCACTTATTGCACTAATTTATGTACTAGCTCAGATACAGAGACTATTATCAGTGTATAATGACATAAGTTTCTTATCCAAAGCTATCGTAGGACTTTACAACACTTAAATATTGCACACAAGTCATTTGGACCACTTTTACATGTTACTTATTGACGTGTTACTTATTGACTTATTTACATTATACTTATTCAAGATAAAAAGTTCCATTCCCCATTCATTATAATAGCATAGAAAAGATCGACTAGTACATTCTGCAAAATGTCTTGTGTTTCGCAGAATAAAAGAAAGCCGTACAGGTTTGAAAAAACAGGAGGGGTTGGAAATAAAGGCATAATCTTCTATTTTCAGCAAGTTGTTCCTTTATTAAGTGAACATATCAATTGTACTTGCCCTGTCTTCCAGCAGAGGTCAGTATAGTTATTCAAATGAATCATTTACTTTTTGATATCGAGATTAATTCCACTCATGGTGATTTATTCATGCATTCCTTTTGTTCTTTTCGGTGACAGACATGGCCCTGATACTTGTGGGACGCTTGTGACACAAAGGAGGGTTGTGTCAACAATAATTTCCTTGTTTTTGATGTTTAGAGTGTTGAATTCCACAACAGGACAGCTTTTATTGGAATTTTGGATCTCTTTGCTGACAGGCTGATCCCTGGATGCCTAAAAGCTTTTGTAAAGGAGAAATCTCTTGTCGGGGTCTGTTGTTTTAATGGGTGTCAGGTCCTGTGAGGCTGATACTTTGTCATGAAGTGTCTAGCTCACTGTCTCCCATGAAGCCCCTCTGTCTCTCAGGCCGGCACCTCCTGTGCGACAGTGATGAATTCCTGATAATTCAGGATGAAGATAGTGAAGCTGGTGCAGGGAGAGATAGAGAGAGAGAGAGAGAGAGAGAGAGAGAGAGAGAGAGAGAGAGAGAGAGAGAGAGAGAGAGAGAGAGAGAGAGAGAGAGAGAGAGAGAGAGAGAGAGAGAGAGAGAGAGAGAGAGAGATGCCAACAGAGTTCACATAGGCATTGTTTTGTCACTCATAACTTTCTATGGCTCTTATGTGTGTCCTGTGATAATAATTAAGGTAATAATTAAATTCCAGTAATTGATCATTGCAATAATACTCACAATACATGCATTTACAGGCACTTTGAATGTTTGATTTCAATTGAGAAAAAGCATTCATTTGTCTTTTAGTCTGACGCTTTAGTCTGACTGAAATCACACCACGGGTTTGTGCTGTTTTTTTTTTTTTTGCTTCTTCCATCATGTGTAAATGTTAATCCAACTATAACTGGTCTCAAAAGATGTGTTTAATCCTTTAAATATACGATTGGTTAATACTTATTCTACAAGGATGTATTAAATTGATTAAAAGTGACAGTAACGACTTTTATATTGTTTCAAAGCATTAAATAAATGCTGTTCTTTTGAACTTCCTTTTAAATAATCCTGAATAAAATGATTACAGTTTCCACAAAAAAACTAAGCAGCACAACTGTTCAACCTTGATAATAATAAGAAATGTTCCTTGATCACCAAATCAGCATATTAGAATGATTTCTGAAGGATCATGTGACACTAAAGACTGGAGTAATGACTGCTGAAAATTCTATCTTTGTCATCACAGGTATAATTTATATTAAAATTATATTAAAATTGAAAAAAGTTATTTTAAATTTTAATACTATTTCACAATATTAAATTTTCTACTGTATTTTTGATCAAATAAACCAGCCTTGGTGATCATCTCTTAAATGGATCCTTTAAGTTGGTAAAAAAAAACAGTTCATGACAAAAGTTTGTTTCTCAAATGAAACATATTCAACTTTTTCTAATCTACACTGGAATGTGTTGGTTATTCTGTAGCAGTTGACGGAGCGCAGCATTAAAGATAGCCAAGGACAAGGAAACCAGGCAGAAAATAAAATGAATACCTCCAAGGAGAGAAAAGTCATGATAGCATGATGTGGTTTGAGCACAGATAGCAGGTTATCATTGCTCCCGGTGGAGATGGCCACCCAGGGGGACAGGTTGGGAGAATTCTGGGTAATCTGTAGATTACAGTCACTTCCCCCTCATTTCTTCACCACTTGGCCTGAGCATGCAGGTGCTCTGGCGAGGAGGATGCTTGGCTAGTTGTAGTTTAGTTAAAAGTTTCCTCTCTTTTTTTCCACAGAAACTTTTGGATCAGATTCTTCAAAGACACAGTGACTGATGGAAGTGCCTGTTCACAAGATTCATATCCCCCGCGCTCTCCTTGCCTGAGGCAAAGAACTGAAGACGAGCAAGACCTTTGCAGCTCCCTCCTGAGACCAGAGAGCAGAGAGCAGAGAGCTTGGCTTTCTTATGCATTGTTCCAAATATAAAACACCTTTTACCAGAATCCACATTATATATGGACGCACGCCCATGGACTGCTGTGTCCTTGCTGTCTGATAAGTATTTTTAAAGAGAACATGTTTGATACAGTATAAGATTGCTTATAAGACTCTAGACCTCATTGGAGGCACATCCTGATTTTTCCGAGTTAGACACAGTTCATGGGACAGCATATTTTGTTGACCCTGGAACAATATTCCTGTCCAAAAATGTAGTCCTGAACATATCTCTAGCTCTAAACCTAACCCTACCAATAAGTTTTCCCTAAAATTAGAGTGAAATGATAAGTGAATAACACTGATGTAGAAGCACCTGGTTGTAAGTCTAAACTTGACATAAACTGTAAACTTGTCCCTCAAATCTGATTGGTTGAATGGAATGTTGTACTTGGCGAAATCAGTTCTACCAGAAAGACTCGAGAGGCAAAATAACGTAACAAGTATGCATTTATTAACAGCCCAGCAAGCAAGTATTATGATATAAAGTTCTTTGGCGTATAGGCCCCGTCTGTAGCTCGCAATCTGAGGGTACGAAATCTGCATTTCCTGCCTGAAGACGAAGGCAGGGGCGCAGCCGACCCCCTGGGAGGTATGGGAAGGGACCATCCTGGTGGTGGTGGGGAGGATGGATGGGAGGGGACCATCCTGGTGGTGTCGGGGAGGACTAAGGTGAATGTAGGCGTCAGCATCTGCGAACTCAGACATGTGTAAGTACTGATCTTATATACTAGTATTAGAACATGATTGATAGATGAGAAGGTAATAAGTGACGTTACAATTGAGTCTTCCTGGCAGAACTTACACTAAAGCTTTCATTTTCTGCTTAATGGGGTCTGGTTTCTGTTAAAAAAATGTGCACTGTCTGTCATATAAACTCTTCAGAATATAGTGTGTTGCACCAATTAAAATGTTGTTTTAAATTATATTTGACCCAGTTTTTTTTTTTTTTTGTCCAAATAAAATAGCACAATACCACAAAATGTTTATTAGGCCATCAAAAGTCATTTGCCTTTACACATACTGAATGCCCTAAAAATTATTATTATTATTTGTTCAAAATCACCATACCCTATTCAAAATGAGCTGAATGTTTTTCTCCAGTGTAAAATTGATTGACCTGACCTGAGGATTTAAGCACAGTCAATAGAAATCATAATAGGATTTGTCATCTATTCGCAAAACACATTACAAAGATTTATTATACGTACAGCCTGTTCTACTTATGAAATGGTGGTTTTGTTCTTAAAGTCTCATGGTCCTATGTATTATTTGAAAAATAAATTGTATTGCCGGCTTTTCTGCCCCTTTTTTCAGATTCATTATCCAATTATTCCCCACATTAAAATTGGGATATTATATTCACTTTCTGTAATAGGCAATTTCAGTAAGTGAAGTATAGCTCAGTACTTGTTAATATGGTGTTGGATATGATGATAAGAAAAGGGCATATATTCCACTGACTCCTCTGCCCTGGAAGTGTCAGGGTTTCTGGTGTGGAACGTGAAATTTGGGATAATAGAATTCAGGAGAGAGCAGCGTAACGGAAGATTAGTCTGGAAACTCAGTGATCAGTTAGATGACAGATGGATGATATATAAAGCAGATACAAGTAACCTAAGGGTGTAAAAATCGTCTTTGTTCAGCAATAAGAATTCAGAGCTGGTTGTGGTAAAGACTTTGAAAGTCTCATGAAAGGAAGAGCAAGCAAATATGCTGATTTAAAAATGTGCTGAAAAGTCCTTGAGTCTCTGAGGTCAGTATGCTACCTGCTGGAGACCTTGAAAGAGTTTATAGAGTGCCTTTCATAACGAAAAGGAAAGAGAAAATTACCCCATTAAGAAAATGAATAATTTTCTTTCTTGCATTTTCTAAACTCAGAAAATATGTGGATGTGGAGCCACATATAAAGATACAGTTTCTTAATTTCTGCAACAATGTTGCTGTATAAAATTAACTTATTCATGTACTGATTTAAATGCAGATAATGTAAAATACATAGATTTTAACTACAGTGCCATTGAAACTGGTACCAATGAACTCATTCATGCCATTTCAAAGAGAAGCCATTCACAGTATTGTGTGAATAAGAATAGCACAATGACAGTGGAATCTAGTAGCCTATTTATACGTTTTGACAAATCATCAGATCTGGTGATTTGTAAATATATAGACTTTATTATAATGTACGATTACATTTGATATTTTTATTTGGTTAAAAACAAACAAGCAAAACAAAAACAAAACACTATTTATGAAACGTTTGTGGCTTATGCTCGATACACTGGTGGGCTAATGGCTTTAGGACCCTGCAGAGCACCCAAATAAAACACGTGGAGATTTAAGCAGCACTCTTCCAAAGAATCAACACTTCACCAAAGCACGAGACCTAACCAATATCTCTTCGTGTCTGTACGTGTGCTCCTGGCTTTTGTTTACACTCTGCATGTGTGACACGGGACAGTGTGTGAACACAGTTGAGCACAAGATTTGGCGGCTTTGTAAAGTTTTTCTGACAGCTCTATCGCGGGTCTGTAGACCACCCTCCCCTCGCTCCCCTGTGTATCGTATCGCAGGAAGTCCCTCACATCCTCTCCTCCTGCGTCGTGTGTGTGTGTATTTGTGTGTTTCTGTGTGGGTATATTATGAAGATCTCATCATAGAGAGCCGGGCATCATGAGGATCTCCCGGCGTATGGAGAACTGGTGCCTCATGTGCGGACTGCGCGCTTTTGTGCTGCTGATAGTGGGACTGACAGCTGGCGTCTCCACTCATCACTCACCCGACGGTAGGACACTTCATATTAGTGCTTATCTTACTACTGGATGTCTTATCCACCCCTAAAGGGTGCATATTAGTATCTTATAAAGCTTTTAAGGGTGCACCATTTGAGGGGTACTGCCTCAGTGACAAGCTGGTGTACCCCTAATTTTTTAACATTTTTGCTAAACTGTGTTACTGTATCGTTTTAAACAATAATAATAATTTAAAAGTTATAGCCCATGTACTTATTGTATGTTTAAAGAATGCAAGAGTTTGATTTAAGTCATTTTGGGAACAGAATACATACAAAAACATGAAGAGAGTTGCTGAATGCATGAGATACATAGGAAACCTTGTGTGTATGATAATGAATAACAATAGAAGGAAAGAGCAGAGATGCACATTTACATGATGTGCCTTGAGGAGAAACATTCAACAGTGACCATTTAAACACATCTGGATGTCCTGTCGTTATATAAATAACTAAAATGATGGCCTCAAAGATGTACCTTTGAGGGTACTTCCCAGTGACAAGCTGTTGAACCTCTAAAGGTACAATGAAATGTTAATAACATAATATTTAAATATTTAAGTAATGTATTGTAATATTTAATAATGCAAAAATAAATAAATAATCCCGTGAAGAGATGACGCCAACCCCTGCTACTTCAAATGCCAACTCAGAATCAACATGGTGTCAAATTTTCTATACTGGATAATATTGTAATCATTATGATCACAACTTGTAATAACTGCTTTAATGAGATCATTGTCTCTTCCTAAATGAGTACATGATCTTAGCTAACTGCATTATTTTGTATTATCTTAAAACTGTACATTTTTGGACATGCATGGACAACATTTCTTGGACACAAGTCACTTCTGATAACAATGTGCTCTAAATTGTAACGTAGAAACATGCATTTTCTGTAAAGCTGCTTTGAAATGATATCTATTGTGAAAAGTGCTACACAAATAAACATAAATTGAATTGAATTTAAATAAAAGCTACTAGGTTAAAATAATTTTACAACATGGAAGGCATCCTATTTCTTAATGACTTCGTATGTATGACTATGAGAACATATGTAAAGACACTGACTATAATTTACTTTACACTCATAGATGTTGGTGGTGAAAAACGGCTACTGTATATACAGTGCACTTGATCCAGTGATATATATTTAGTGTTCAACAAAACACTTGTGCTTGTCAGAACTCTAGTTTAATGAGGTCAGTGGAATTACGTTTAAAATAGGCTTTGTTTTTGGCATATACATGTGCTGCGTTTATTTCAGTGTGGCAGATGGTTGGCGTAAACGGTGTGAGTTTGTTAAGGTTTGTCAGGTAAGGTTAAGTTTTCTCTTTCACTGGTCAGTTTCACCGTTTAATTCATCAGATCATATTGTTCCTACAACACATCTGTTCTACACATCTCAGATTTTCTCTCTTTCACTAGAGCATACTCCTCTAAGCTGGTGTTCAGAAAGATAGTAATTACAGCAAAGGCAGGATGATAATATGTTTCAGAGCTTTGATTGCAGGGGACTCTTGAAACTCAGTTTGATCACAGCTAATGAAATAGAATGCAGAAAAAGGACTGTCTTATAATGTCTTTCATATGCCATTTTATTTCATTTAAGTTACATGATTAACAGTGTCTTTGTGTGTATAGTTGTATAAAAGTGGCTCAGCCACTGAGGGGTGCTGTCTTGAAACAACACCTTTCAAGGGCAGTATTTTGGCTTTACCCTTAATGGCAGACACCTGTGTGTATGAGAGAGAGAGAGAGAGAGTGTGTGTGTGTGTGTGTGTGTGTGTGTGTGTGTGTGTGTGTGTGTGTGTGTGTGTGTGTGTGTGTGTGTGTGTGTGTGTGTGTGTGTGTGTGTGTGTGTGTGTGTGTGTGTGTGTGTGTGTGTGTGTGTGTGTGTGTGTCATATTTCCTCTTGTTAGCACCTCATTCCCAGCGTTGACAAGCTCCTGAAGTTAGCAGGGCTGACATGGTTTCACAGTATCACACATGACAGCAAAAATTACCTAGAGCCATTAAAATGCAATTTGAGACTATCCATCCATGGCTAATTTGTTTCTTGTGCTCTGACACTGTTTGTGTGTGCGTGTATGTGTGTTTATAATATGTTCATCCATGGCTGAAATCCTTATAATATGCCAAAGTGGGTGGAATTGCTGATCAAGTAGTCTGAAATTCTAATCGAAATCCCAAATATTTGAATTCTATATCTAATTTGAATGGCTACTGTAATCACTCAAAGTTGCTTTGCAAGGCCAAACTCTTCAGGGCAAATGCCATGCCATGTTGCAAAAAAACTTTGTAATAACATTTTATTTAAAGAGATGTTTGTATAATTTGTTTTGTATTGATCATGGCAGCAGTATAAGTGATCTTAATAAGTGAGTCATTCATTTGTTCATTCATTCAAAATGGCTGATTCTATCAGAAACAAAGCAAGTGACTGGTTGCGTCTGATATCGCATGCTCTCTGAATAGGGACTTCTTCTAAGTATTTCGCAACTGTTAAAAAGTATGTTCTATATAGAATGAATGTGTGTAGTATGAATGTAATGCGGACATACTGCATTTCTCGTTTTGTCTTTCCTTCTCTGTCTTTCACATATCCTCACCAATGTCTAAAAGGGATAGTAAAGTGTCCATTGGATGCACACTTCAGATCTTGCTGGAAGTGGTTGGTCATCTGGGTAATTCTTGGCTTGCCTAATGTTTAATGAATTTCGGTGAATTTGGACATGCTACTCATTTTGCATACTTTTTTTCACCTACTATAGTAGAGATGCATGTACTGTATATTTGGATGCAGTCACTACTATCTTTTTGAATTGATTATTGAATCACTCACTCAAACCATTTGTTCAGAAAGGCAGATTTACTAAGTAATGCTTTGTTTGGAATTATTTTCATTGGCATTCTAATAAAACAAAATGCCCCAAACAAACATATCCTCCAATGCGATCCGGGACGCCATTAAAATAAACCATCCACTTGTTTCCGAAGCTGGGATCCCTCTGAAGTCTGTTCAGAGATGCAAACAAACTGTTTAAACTGGACGCATCAAAGCAAACGTTCATTCACTCTTCCATTTGTCCTGTTGTCGACAGACTCAAGTGCGAGTGGGCGGGGCCTATGGTGCGATGATGTATAACTATTCTTTGATGTCTTGCTCTGGGGTTAGTCAAATGCAGTGGGCACAACTCATTCTTAAGATGTGCTCACTCTAGAGTTTGAGCACACAAAATTTCTATGGACACTGCAGTGGTTATAATGATGTTGCACTCTGTGGCTTATTAAAAAAAAAAAAAAATAATAATAATTTAGCATATAATACATCTAAAATGAAAAAAATATACAATCTAATACCCTTTACTGCTATGTTGCAATCCTGCAAATTTTAAGTTGAAATTTTAATTCAGCTAAGAGGTCACACCATGAAGTATCAATCTTCTGTTAGTTATACATCGTCAAGTGATAATTCGCAGGCCAGTCACCAGACATGAGCTTTGGAATACAGCAACATTTGCATGAGCTTGTGTTTCCTTTCTCCCACATTCGCATGCGTATGAATGGAAATCAATGGAAGTCTAGTGTGACCACCCCTGTAGTAAACTCTGACAGAGAAAGAGGAACGCATTGATAAAATAGTGGTAAATCTGGTGGGAATTTCCGTTGAAATATACAGTTCCCTTCCTGTGTTTGTTTGTTTTTATGTGAGAAAGAGATAGGTAGAGACACTTCTGTGGAGTTTTTGGGATAATGCTTTGTGTTGAAGGGTGGGGTGATAACCAAATTTTGACACGTTTTACCGCACCCGCTTGATTCTGGACCATGTGTGTGTTTGTGTTTCTGTTTAAAAGGATTCAGGTTTGTTCCAGCAGCCACTTCACAGTGGCCTTGGCCTCCATAACCAATCCATTCTGCATGGGAGGGGTCTGGCTTTACCTTCTGGAGAGTGACACACACTATCACACACATAAGCCAATCATCCTCATTGCACACACACATTCAGGATGATCAAAAAGGACTTATTGCAAAATCTCTTGTGGATTAATGTAAAGCAGATGCATTAATTCTAATGTTCATTTCAAAATTTGAGGAGTTATAGTATAAGACACTAGCCTGGATGCCAGCCCGGACCCCGCCCACAACATTTTTTGGTCGGGAAGTTCGGTCTGGACTCGATCCATTGAGGAGTAATTATGATCGGTTCAGAATTAGTCGGGCCAATCAAATTGCCAGGGCGGGCTTTATACGATGATGGACAGATGATCTGCAGTTACGTAATCATCACGTTATCAAAGAGCGCTTGGGTTGAACTGGTTTCCCTCAGAGATGACTGCAGCTGGAGAATTGAGATGTATAGATTCCGCTATCGCGTCTGTTGTAAAAGAAATCGACAGCGCATTCATTTTAAAAGACGAACAGAGAACTGCAATCAAGGCATTTGTCGATCGGAAAGATGTGTTTGCCGTCCTTCCTACGGGATTCGGCAAAAGTTTATTTTATCAGCTGGCTCCGATGGTCTCTAAGAAGATGGGACGCAATGAAAACCCTGTGGTCGTTGTGGTTTCTCCTTTGGTCGCACTCATGGAGGACCAAGTAAAAGAAGCAACACTCATTATTTTACTACTTCTTCCAGCGTGCGTGCAGTTGACTTCTGTTGACAATTTGCGTAGCTCATAAAAAAAACACTTACTGCGTTGCTCTGATTGGTTGTAGGTCTATCCAATTGCAGAGTTTTCCAGAGTGCAGAGTTTTTATTTTTTCCTGGTTCGGTTAAGACACGCCTCATAATCAAAGCCCTATGGAGCAGTATCAGACTCACATTCTGACTAGAATATGAGTATGACGAAGTCAGGCTAATAAGACACTGTAGTCTACTGAAACCACTTTCACTGTGTCTGAGTTTCTGAAACCGTTTTGACATGTTGAATGGACCCCTGTTGTTCTCTGCATTGATCCAGAGCTCAACAACTCCCTAAAGACACACACAC